GAACTCAGGCCGCCTCGTACTTACTATTTTGCTCTCATAGAAATTCCTGCAGTCCAGCAGGACAGTGTCACTCTGTTCTTGATTTGCCAGAGATAAGAACTTCCCTACTTCTTGATGAAATTCACCTGGGGATAAATGGATTCCTAAAACCAAATCCAAAAACTATGTTAAGAAAAACAAAAACTAAAAGAAAAACACAATCAAAATGAGACTAATATGATGGTTTACATTTTGCCTTATTTGTACCTGAAACTTTTCATAAGTCACAAGTACATCTCTAAACGGCACTATTTGATCACCATGATGAAATCATTTAGTAATTTCAGGAACTCTCAATCTCCCTCCTCCCAAGATGAACACTACGGAGACCTGGCAGCTTAGAGATAATGAGTCAAAGAAATTTTGCATCTTCACACTTGGCTCAACCAGACAAATGTGATCTAAACTGTCACATGGGTTTGTCGGCCCCCTGTACAGTCACTAGTGGGTCAGGGAATGGCCCCTGTTCTATTGTCAACTGTACATGGAGGAGCCTGGACAGATAAGCACTTGACTAAAGGCCTTGTAAACTGTTCTGTACCAAGGTCAAGCCCAAGTTCAAAGCTACAAACCTTGCTATAGGCAGGTATGGGCACAAAGTTATGGAATAAAGTTAGAATTTTTTTTTTTAAATGCACAAAGAAGAATGGTCTGTGTGTGCATAAGGAGAAGAGAGGAGGGTGGGTAGGCTGGCAGCAGAAATGATACACAGAAAGGAGAAGAGTGAAACAGCCGTAGGGCTGAGGAGCAAAAGGAGATGAGTAAGTAAACACTCACAAGGACAACAAAGAGGGGCCCGAAGTTGGGGGCCCTTTGCATCAACTCACAGGAGAAAACATTCCTGTGTCTTTGGTGGGCCAGACATCTCAGCAGGTTGTGGAAACCCTGTGGTGAATCTGGCAGTGCGGGGTCACCACACCCGTAGGTGGGGGTTCTGGCAACTGCAGTCACCACTCTCAATGGAGTTCACAGCCCCCAAGGAGCCCCATTCTACTCAGGGACACGGTACCTGAAACTGCTCAGTACCCACCCAGGCTGGAGCACAGCCAGGGAGCCTGGAGTCCGGCCTGCCCTATGGAGGGCTACAGGGAGAATGCGATAAGGCAGAGTCTACGTAAGTCGGTGGAGCAGAGTGAATGGCCACCCAAAGAGCAGGGGTGAGGAGGAAGGTTCCGGAAGGCAGTGAGGTGGCCGGAGACCTGCTGAAGCTCCGCTGCAGGGAAGCTGTCCCCACTGCTCTCAGTGCCCCCCTCCGCTGCCCGGCTGGACGGTGGTGCACCCAGAGGCCCCTCACCAAGCCGGCTCATGGGAGCGTTCTACAGCACCGCCTGTGGCCCCCTGTCCCCTAACATCCTGACCAACGTCTTGTCGGACACAGGAAGAGCCATGCGTAGTCATGCCACCTCCTGCTGGGATGGGACGCGGCACACACAGCTCTCTGTGGCCCTCGTCTCCTCCCATCACTCTCTTTTCCCAGATACCTCTATCTGAGTCGCTTCCCTCGAGCTTTTAAAAGCCCTCTTAGGCTTTTAAAAAGGAGTTCCGATGGCGTAGTGCCTAAGGCATTTGACTGGTAACCAGAAGGCTGGTGGTTCAA